ACACACACACACACACACACACACACACACACACACACATATATATATATATATATATATATATACACATCGAGCATCACCATACCAATACAATTTGGGGAATTTAGGGATTCAATCGCCTTCGAGCCTTCTGTCCCCCCCCGGCTCAACACAGCCTCAAAAAATAATGGGAGATTTTACTATTTTAAGCACTCATTTGCGGCACTAATGATCAGTCGAAAGCTGCTGACCATGATGAGCGTTTTGAACGCAGAGAAGAGACATCAAGAAAAGCGGTAGAATATCTTATATTGCATTGTGTACATCGAATTCGAAAGGGATTTTTACCTGGCATTATTCAGTTTTTTTTAGATCAATCTCAAATTTTTCTGCAATGTATCTTTTTTCGGACTTTTCCATTAACCATCAATTGTGTTTTCATTTTCGCAGTGGGGAGAAGGCTACCGGTGCATTTGAACATGTCTTCAGGTGTTGTGATGAAATTTGAGGTTAGACAATTATTTTATTTTTATTTATTTCAACACGTAGCCAATAACATGGAACTGGCAAATGTGGCACAACATATGAACGAAAATTCGTAGATTGTGTTCAGAGGTTGTGTGGGCATGTTACTTCCCAGTTGACCTGGCCGAGGAAGGGGGCTAACCTCGCGGTCCCCATCCGAAGCCTTTGGCTAGAAAACCAGACCAGCAAGACAACAGGACGAAGCTCAGTACACTGGGGCTGGTGTTCAGTTCATTAGATAATACGCCCTTTGAACGGGGTCAAACGTCCGAGGTGCTCAATGCACCATGATGCCCAGTCGATCTGGTGACCACTGCCAAATCCGGGAAAATGTATGCGTGGTTTGTACTCGTCCTCTTGGTTGGTTTGGAATCAAGTTTTTTAGCCCCGTAAGTGAACTACCAATGGTTCACCAGCCTAGTCATAACCCCCAGATGATGGCTTTTTGTTCTCTCGCTTTGGTGGGAAAACACCTTCGCCACGGAAAGGCAGTGAGTAGGACTTCCATAGCAGAGTCTATTTGAGATACTTGGCCATATAGGAGCGTTTCACGAGGTGGGAATGGTACTACTGTCCCAAATAACTAGTACAATTCTCCTCCGGGGCTGTGGATGAGCCCCTTGCGAATCTTTCAAATTGCATTATGAAACCGTCACTCCAGTATCGTGATCAGCGACAGACGATAGCGAACCACATCACTTGTAGCCCATATCCAAATTATTCTCATTCCACAAGTTCAGCTAGATAACGAACCAACTTGCTTCACCGTTGACTGCTGATACTCGAGAACAATGATGACTGCTATGAACAGATACATGCGAAGCGTAATCAAGCCGGCTGACTATCGATATCGCATTATTTAGTTCGGCCATCACCCTGGGGAACACAGGTAACATAGCATTAAAACAACACTCCACATGCCTCAGTGTACTGCACATCCGTTTCAGTAGGGTGGGTTGGAAATTGCGGAACCGATGAACTGACCTATTAATCAGGGATGACATTAGTCAAGGTGTTCGATACAATTTCCTGATGAGGAATGGGAAATACGTGATCCAGACAAAAGAGGGTGACTAATTCACGATCACCAATCGGCAGTCAGGAGACATGACCCACAATCAGGATGGAAGAACAACCCCTTCGCACCAGTTTAACGGCAAACCGAGTCGAACACAATGAGAACAAGGGATAAAATTAATGAGTGGAGAAGAACATATATATATATATATACACAAACGAACGGGTACAAGTAGAACATTGCCACTTCACAAGCACTGATGATATCACCTCGGCTGGTGATGAAACGTTTGCAAACAAATTCTAATTACTCGGCGGCACAGGTGAAATGGATTTTGCGATCAAGTCCAAAGGTGATTACTGATTGGATAGTGCATAGAGAACCACTACTATTTCATTGTTCATATCACTGATTTCTTCCAGTAAGCTAATCGCTATATCCGTGACCTTCTCTCGCGTGTGTCACGCATGCCACCAGATAGGTTGCCAAGGCCAGCGATATTCACCGAGGCATGTAGTGGGTGGAAAATTTTAAGGGCAGCCAAACTATGACCTGGCATGAGGGCATAGGTCTCGTTAGGCTCCCTGGCTGGGGTCCTCGGGATGATCGTAAGCGATGGTTATAGACAGTGAGTGATATGGCTGAGTGTCTTAAACAGTGGCGCTCGTGCATATTCTTAATTTCTTTATAACATTAGTTCACGGAAATTCCCCCATTCAACTATATCGTCTTTCTCCTACTGTTCATCCAAATGGGCGGCTAAAAGACCGGCGCACGAAAGTGCATGGTCAATGGTTGTTTAAACTGAAAAATGAACTGATTTCGAATTTCGAAAACCGACAACCAGTGTCATATCGATCGTGGAAACGAGATTACTACCAAATATTCCCTTTCTTCCTACTCTATTACCGCTGGTTGATCGGAAATGAAACAATCTTCTACCAACTCATCACGCGTGACTTACTGTCACTACGTGGGAGAGGGGCAACGCGGGTTTCGCCAATTTTGACTGACAAATTTGATGGACTTAAGCAGATAAGACTCAATCAGGTCAAAACAGCTGTCCAGTTGTACTTCTCAGCTTTTCAGCTCATGCCTCACTGACACGACGAATTCATCATTTAAATCAGATACGTTGCTGGGACACCTGAAACACCTCGCGGGTCGTTACCAGGTGCACGATGGATGTTTGGTCATCAGGTAGACCAATAAATGTGTGTCAACAGATGCACCGTTTGGAGTGAACAGTTTTCTGCACGCCACGTTTTCCTCCCAGTTCGGATCTATACAATATACCATACGGTCATTTTTTCCAATACGTATAGGATGAATATGGATTCAGGAAAAAAACGGATCACGAATTCGGCCACTGGAATTGACCATTTACTACATACAAGGGGGCGATCGAACAAATGGAACTGAAACAGAGTGAAAATTAGGGGAAAACAGACCTCGATGTATCAGAGCGGAAACCTCGTCCAAGCTGAGCAACGAATGTTGCGCACAAGAAGATGGCAGATGCGATTGCAAACGGTTGGTTGAATCGGTTGTGCTTGGCTGTGATAGGGTAGGAATGAATGGAGAGAACAAAATACAAATTGAGTACGACTAAGACGTGGTGAGAGAGGGAGGGGGGGGGGGNGAAGTAAGAAACACAGTGTAAATAATGACGATGATAATCGAAATCGAGACACAAGGAGTTGACGTAATTATCACACCCAGGTTACTCACGAAAAATGATCTATTGAATTAGAACCCTACGTGCAAGACTTGTTTCAAAGTTGATCGGGGTCGTACCGATTACTTTTTGACAGTTACACTACTGTTGCTCCCTCTCTCTCTCTCTCTCTGTACGAGGGCTGAGCAAAACGTTTCCGGATACACAACTAGTTTTATTTGTTACACAAAAATAAGCATTACATTTTCTCAAAGTATTCTCCACCAGCACTCATACAACATTCCATGCACTCAAACTCCTTTGGTGAAACAACTCGACCATGCAGACCAAAGCGGGTAACAACCCTTCGACCAGTTCGATGAAGGCCTCCTCGCTGCAGCTGTTGGCGCCGCGTATCGGATTCCACGCATCATGAGTTTGATATGTAGGAACACAGCCTCCATCTATTAAATGAACAGACGTTAGTCATAAATGTATGGGTAAGTACCAGACATCTTCGGTTTACTACATGCTATGAGGTAATCAATTATCTATCAACCTATAGGTGAGTTGAACCAGAGATACGAGGGATTGAGAAAAACGCTTGCCGATGCACAAAATTTTTAATTGGTAACCCTTCAAGCAGTTCAATAAAGGCCTCCACTGCAACTGTTGGTGACTCTTATTGGATTCCACGCATCATGCGCTTCACATTTGGGAACAGAAAAAAGTCACACCATCTCGACTCCAAGGTGTGTGACCAACCAACCTTCTGGATGCGTTCTCTAGTCAGAAAATGACCGACGACATGGGACCTGTGTACAGGTGCGTTGTCATGGTGCAGCAAGGTTCGTCGTGAGTATAGCGACCCTCTTATGACTTGTGAGCTAAGCCTGGGGTATGTTGAGTTGTGTGAGTTACAATCACTAAATCATATTCACAATACGAGATTACAGTTCACGCTTTCCTTGCCCCGGTCATCTGCACCTCGTACTCGTCGTGTACACAATGTATTCGGAATCTTTTGTCATGCATAGATTGGTCATTTGCTTGTCAGCGATTTCGACCACACCGTCTGTCACGACTGTCACAGCAAATAGACAGTGGTGTATTCTTTGTTGAAGACTGTATCCTCGTCTGTCTTTCACCTACGGCCTGGTGAGTACACGGGTGCTATTGGTTCTGTTTGGTAAAGTATTATCAATTTTGAATACCGCGGGAGCAATGTGGTGACCCAGGGCGGGGGGGGGGGAGGNNGGGTTGACGTCAGCTAATTATCACCCCGGAGGATGGACGTGTGTTCGAATTTCACCAACAACGCCTGATTGTCCCCACTGTCTATTGACCGGTTCCCTCTTCCTAAAAATTGTATTATTCAATGTATTCAACAAAAGGGGAAGTAAAAATGAAAAGAAAATTCGAATACTATCAAAATAATATCGTTTTCCAAGGTTGAAACGGACAGTGCCCGTACAAATATATATCATTGGTCTGAACATGTATGTTTTCTTGTTGTTTCAGTTACAAAATAACGATTCGTGTGAGTTGTTCTGATTTGGTTGTGAAACATAATCTGAATAGGAAAACCAAATGGTTTCTCCTTTTTTCCACTCGCATTTCTTTGCCATACGGACCAGCAGGCCCTAACTGTGAGCCAAACAGGTAAAATAGAAGATTCAGTACAAAGACAATCTACGGGCGTGTGTGNGGGTGGAAGATGAGGGATGTACGTCTGATGTTTTTTTTCTGTCAGCTCTCAATACGGCTTACGTGAATCGGATTGGCCAATAATTCCCACTGACGAGTTGGTCCCAGTGGTCCATGATCTGTCACCGCAGACGGAGGTACCCAGTAGTTCACATCCACACCGATTGGAAGCCAAAGCAACAGATTCAAATGGACCGCCGGCAACTGGGTACAGCTATGGATGAGCGGGACATACAACGGGTCAGAGTGAAATGGAGAAATAGAGTGGAACATAGAAAACAAAGACACGTTTATGGATTTCAAGTTTATAAAGAGAGAGAGAGTCGTCAGTAGATGCGAAAAGCGATTCCATTCAGATTCCAGTGAGCAGTTTGGGTGATTTACTGGCAATGAGTACGAACTAACTGAGCAAATGTTGATATATCCAAGACTTCGAGCTAAGTTTAACGCAATTTGATTTTTTTTCTCGGCATACGCTCCATAGCTTCAGGAGTTGTTCTTCAACGCATATTCCCCCACCATAACAAATCGCTATTCCCCCAGTCATCAGCATCATTATCGTGAAGTGAACTACACTAATCGCTGCTAAGCTCGAAATGCATGCAGGATTAGTTGTAATGTGTAAGGGATTGGAGCGATTTTGAGGGAGGGGAAAGAAAGTGAACCTCTATGGTCAACACAGTACACACTACGTAAACGCCGATAATCGAAAACTTCTAGTGGATGGATATCTTCTACTCGCAAATTCAAGGTCTCATAACCATAAAGCAGAACTGAAACAACGGTGGCACAATATACACGATACTTCAACTTCAGTGCAACGTCGCATCTATACCAAAGATGTTTCAGTCCTGCGTACGCTGGTTGAGTCTTGGTAATGCGGGAAGCTATCTCTTTTGATGCGCTATCGGCATTGGTCACACAACTACCTACGTAGGAAAAGCAATTCACTATGCCATTTAGTTTCAAAGTGAGATCAGGCGACACCCAATCTTGTGGTATCACTTTGTAATTTGAAGGTGCAAAGCACATATGTTCGAACTCCATCACTATTGTTATCGTACTTTTCCAGCTTTCTATTGTTTTCTATCTAGAGACGATCAGTATTGGGTTAGCGCTCCGATTTGTCCTCACTATTGCAATTATGTGCTTGGTCTCTCATCTCGGCTGACGGAATTCCACGAATTTGCAATTCTTCTTACCACTTTTTGATGTGCAAATTATATCCACTAGCCCAACTTACTCGGTCTTTATTCACCGGGACTTACTACTTCAATTTCGCCTGTACAGTATGTTTCAAGTATTTATACCGGAGTCCAGACTGTATGCTAAACAAATCACGATAGAATAAATTTCATACAAAATTAATGAATCAACTTGCTCATGGGCGAAATACCGTTAGGTTAATCAAGCTAAAGTGAGAGGAATTTGCAATCGGCGCCTCCGGTTCGCTAACGACTCTCGGAGGCAAGACGAGGGCGTGAGATATTAGCCAAACTTAGAAGACGCCACTCGAATGGCATTCATTCAATCACTCCATCACGGAACACTTTATGCCTTTTTCTATTCATCTAAAATCACCAATCGTTTTTTTTTGAAGCAAAATAAACGAAATGGGTAGGCCCTACATGTTTCTTTGGTCTGTCTCCCGATTATATCGCCTCAAAATAATTGGGTTCATATTGTTTTCTGTAGAACGAGTTTCCTGCGATTAAGTGGTGACTTTTTTTCAATTTATAAGCCGATTTATCAGTTTTCGTTTTACTACTTCACACTAATTGGGATGATACATACCCGAAAAATTTAGACCTCCATATCTGCTAAAAGTGATAATGCACTACATGGACGTTTGAAGTGGCTGATAACAGAGCTGCCTCCACCGAAATAGGCTGATTTGCGTAAAGTTTGATCCGCAATGGGGGGTGTACACTAATCATACCTACTGTGTGGAGCTTTGTGTGCCACTTTACAATTCCAAGGTGCTTCCGCTTCTGAACTTCACAGAGCACAATACACTGCCATGGCACCCCCCCCCTCCCACCATCCCACGTTTATTTAGTGGGGCAATAACCAGATAACTTGTTCGTAAAAGCTTGGAGAGAAAATACACGAGGGCAAATTACGCGAAACCTACCTTTCGTCTTGACATCGAACATGATTGATTGTCTCTCGAATGGATTCAGTTTCTAATTTTACAAACTCAATGTTTTTATATCCCAAGCGTTCATAGGCAAGCAATTGGAACAGATAGTTTACAATCCGATGAGCCGGTTCGTCGGTCACAGCTAATTTGAGTACCAATGATCGATTGTTAAAATTGAATGTCCGATTCCACTTGACTTTGTCGTCTGAACTGAAACAACTGGTCGTAGTGGTCGTGTCCTGACTCAAAATCGTCGTGGTGGCATAACTGGCAATGATGACCAAACAGAACAAATGCCTCGAGCAAATCATGACGCTTGTCTGGGACTTCGTGGATGGTATGAAACAACCACAGTCAGAGATTAATACCCTGAGCTGATTGAATGATCCACACAGTGCAAATCAACAAACATGTTGCTGAAAAGATGCAGGCCAGTAACCGGATCAGAATGCTTCCAGATCTGCGAAATAAAACAGGAACAGTGTAAACAGTAATCAGTAATGATGTGCCACTGTGCACAAACGTTTTGGAAGCATCTATGCCATGTAGATCACTGTCAGTTTGGTTGAGAGGAAACCGACAGCCCCGAATAAAGTTTAACATCAGATTCCAGTTTCAAACTGGAGTCAAGATTGCACGGTCGAATAAGCAGGAATTCCCCCAAAGAAGTTCTGATACCAATTTATAAAGTATAAACGGAACACATGCAAAAACGAGGAAAATCGAGTTGTTTTGTTATGTAAAATCGTTTACATTTGTATTGTATTATATTGTTTCCGTTTTCAGCCCTTCTCAAACAGTTCGTTGAATAAACCTGGCATTCTCAGCTTTTAGTTTTCTACGGTATTTCAATTGATGGATTATGTGGAAAAGCCGAGGCCAATGGCAGAAAACGCGAGCGACTTGACGGTTGGATTTATGACAAACCTTAGAACCTTTATGTTATAAAAATACAAACTGACCAAATTGTAACCTGCTTTATCATAACGCTAACCTCATAGCTAGACTTGTACCTAGACCACCAACATTTGGGTGGTGGTGGCGCAGTGGTTTAATCACTGTCACCACCTTGCTTTGGACCCCACTGTTTGAGGTACGAGCCACGCCGCCGACACCCCACTTTGGTGGTAGACATTCCTCGTCCCTTTCAATACCAGGCTTAACCTAGAGGACTAATGTGGTTCGTCACTCCAGGTCCCGGGGTTCAGGCTACCGGTTTTCATCGCTGAACAGCAGGTCCTCATAACTGTGGGGTTTACCCTGTCTGCTATTCACCACACAAAAATGCCACAGCGAAATGCCCTGGACCTAGAGACCATAGTCCTGGAGCGAACCACACTTTCCGAGATCACCTCTCAGAGGTTGGATGCAGAAATGACACCATAAATGGTCCCGAGTTGTACGCGGGAGCTCGATGTAACAGTTCAGCTCTAATTAGGGATGACTAATGGGTTTAGGAATCGAACACTTCGAGTACCTCAGGTTCTTGTGGTAGGCTGTGGATACAGACCACGCCTTGTTACAAGCTAATTTCTCCTTACACCTGGCAAACAACGGCAGAGAAGCCACCGACAACGGATACCCACGATACAGAGTCCACGATGGCTGCCTTCGAAACGGAGCTCTTCGATCGCCTGTCAGTTCAACCACCAGTCCAAGGACTCAACAAACATTGGAAGCAAATCATGGAAGCTATCCAGATATCGATAAAAACAACGTCCGACCCTGGCGCACATTCAAAACACAAACGTTGGATCTCCTCGACCTTGGCTGCCCTGATGGACGCCCGCAAAACCCTACCTCCAGATGCCACATATGACGCAGCGCGCAAATCCCTTAAACGCCAGCTCATCAACAGTCTGAGGAATGACCGCGAAAAGTGATGCGTAGAGAAGTGTAGAGAGATGGAGAAGGCTGCGGCTATCAGTAACAGTTGCAATCTTTTCCGTCTAATTAGGAATACGGGCCCCAGGAAAGCCGGTGTTAGTGAAGTAATTAAGGAGTCTGATAGCACATTGATTCACGATCAGAAACGCTCTCTTGATTGATGGGCTGAACACCTCAAGGCTCAGTTCAACTGCCCCCTAGCGACATCTCATCTTTCACTCTCCACCTTGACTGGGCGAATACTGCTAGTTGACATCAGTTCTCCATCTGAAGTGGAGGTTACCCGGGAAATAGGTTATCTCAAAAGGTATAAGGCTCCCGGCCCAAACGGACTGTCCCCATTGGCTTTTAACGATGGAAGTTTAACCTTGGTTTGGAGTTAACAAAACTCCTGGGCTCAGTGTGGGAGAGAAGAGGTTCCAGCTGAATGGTGTGAATCGGTAATCATACCGATTTACAAGAAACGCGATAGGTCCTCCGGTTAAAACCAGAGGAATTAGTTTAATCAACATCATTTCTAAACTTCTCGCTGTGATCATACCCCGTCGATTGTCTGCCGCACGTGAACGGTGCACGCGTGAGAACCGGGCTGGTTTTAGACTCGGTCGAGGTTGTATCGACCACATCTTCACTCTTCGTCAAACTCTGGAGCCTCGACATTCTTTTCGTAGGCCCACCATCTCTATCTTCCTCGACCTGAAAACGGCTTTCGACTCAGTCGATCGCTAAACTTTGGTGCTGCCTTTCCCTGAAGGGTGTCTGAGAAGTTTATTTCAATACTAATAGCCGAAATCGAGCCCGAGCTTACGGCACTTTTTCGTCCGAGTTCACCACAGAAAGTGGCGTTTGTCAGGGTTGCCCTCTCTCTCGTTTTCTATTTAACTTTGTTTTAGATATGATTATGGAAACAGCCATATCCTCGTACGAGGATAGTGGCATCGATTTACTCCCAGGTGGCAGACTGTCGGATCTAGAATACGTAGACGACATTGTGCTACTAAGTGAAGATCCAGGTAAGTTGCAAGCTTTTCTGGATAGCTTGAGTGTCAGCGTAGCCATGTTCGGTATGCGTTTTGCACCTTCAAAGTGTAAAATATTACTACAAAACTGGGTTGGTCCAGCACCCGGACTCGCTCTAACTGGGAAGTAATGGATCAAGTGGATAAGCTTTTTTATCTGGGCAGCTACATCTCATCCGGTAGATGCATCACGGATTAAGTGTCACCTCGTATACAGAAGGCTCGGTTGGCATTTGCCAACTTGTGACATCTGTGGCGCCGTCGCGACATCCGATTATCTGTGAAGGATCGAGTGTATGCCGCGGCAGTTCGGTCAGTTCTGCTTGGCCATTAAGAAAACAGGACAAAGATAGACTGTCGGTGTTTGAACACCGCTGTCTATGCAGCATTGCACGAATCTGGTGGGACAGCCGGACGAACAATGCTGAGGTTAGACGCAGAGTTTTAGGTAACCGCGGTCGCCCACTTTAGCAAGTGACACCTTCAGTGTCTCCAAGCATATGGTTTCAGAGTCTTTTGAACTGCAACCCGGAAGACGAGAGACAAATATTGTATTCAAGCACTTTGTGCATTTCTTCATTCCTCGTCTCCACGTCATCTGCTGGCCTCCATGTGGCTTCCTCCAGGATGAAACAGCCACTGCGAATAAGGCGCGCTGCGGTAGGCGACCGTCGGACATATGCAAGACGTGTCCTAACCAACGGAGCTTATTGCGCTGAATTCGATGCGATAGCGAGTTCTTGGTCGATGCATTTCCAAATAGCCGACGACTTACCTCTAAGTTACTAACCCGCTCACTCCATCCCACTTGGGCCAGACAATATAAGCATCGATTGTCGACGACCACTAGGCGACGAATGTCTTCCACCTGCAAATTTGAGGTATTACAACTCTAAAGCAGAACTAATCGTACAGTGGCGCAGTATACGCGACTTTTTAACTTCAATGAAACATCACGCCTCCGCCACAGGTGTTTCAGTCCCGCTCGAGCCTTGTAAATGCGGACAGTTATCTCCATTGATGCGTTACCGTCGTTGGTCACGCAGCTACCCAAGTAAGAAAAGCAGTCAACTTCAGCGAATTCTTGACCGTCTAGTTTCAGAGCAGAACTCGGAGACACTCAGTCTTGCAGCATCACTTTGCACTTTGAAGGTGCAAAGCACATGCCGAACGGAGCAACAGAACTTGTTAATCTGTCAAGTGCTCTTTGTGCGTCATTCATAGATTCAAACAAAGAGACGATGTCGTCAGCGTACTACAAATCACAGCTTTTCTCCATTTGCCCATTTAATACCTACATTTTGGAGACCACTTAGTGTGTTCTGCAGTATTTTTTCTGACGAAATTGAACAGGAATGACGAAACAGTGCACCACTGACGAACACCGCTGCTAGTTACGAATGACCTACTCAGCTCACCTAGACCCTTATGCTACCATAAGTAAGCAGGTAGAGTGACCTCAGTATGTTCACATACTTCTGCGGCATTCCTTCGCGAAGGAGCGAACGCATAAGGGATTCGCGGTCAACTGAGTCGAAGGCTCCTTTTAGATCAAGGAACACGACAACCAGTGGTCGACGGTGCGTATGGCGTAGTTCGAGGACTTGATTCACAGTGAAGATTTGATCGATACAGCCGCGGCCTGGTCGAAATCCTGCTTGTTGTTCGCGGATATTTGTCTCCCTAAACGGTGTCAGACGTTGAAGTATGATGGATGCTAGTAACTTGGTGACCATTGGGTTTGCGCAGTCGTTGCAAGATCCCGTCTTAAAAATGGAACAATCAGTGATTCGCTTCAAGATGAGGAAATACGCTCGTGTAACCAGATGTTAAGCCCTGTTACTGAGTGCAATACTTACTCCGCGCTGGCCTACTGAACGGACTTCGTCATCACCTGACGCGCAGAGGAAGAACCTCCAAGAGAACCTAGGTTCACTTAAGTGGCATATAGTACTAGGATCCTGGATTCGAGTCTCCGATACGCAGCAGACACCAATCCCCAAAGAGTCCATTGTACGAACCAAACAAGCTTGTTGACCTACCTCACGCTGGAGGTCCCCAGATTCAGTATTTGACGAGGCTTTAGAATCTGCAACCTATTTTGTCGAAAATCACTTACCGGGCTACTTAGAGCCGAACTTTTGCAAGCGACGAACAAGTTGTCTGAGGGAATGTTACGGGTTGGAAGAAGATGTAAAGGGAGAGGGTTGGGAACGGAAGACAAAGAGTCAAAGAAAGGTTGGAATATATGAGCAGTACCCCCCCCCCTCTATCATTACCCACCCCGCCCGATGCAATGGGCAGCGCGACCCTGGTTATCCTGCCCGACGACCGACGCAATGTGGAATTATTTTTTGTTTGT